GCTAAGCTGGGCTCTTCTGTGTTGATCCCAAAAGAGACCAAACTAGTAGTTTGTAAATGTTCAAATACCAAACTACTGTACATATAAAAGTGGCTGTCCAACAGAGAAAGGTGGCAAGCATGGGAGAGCTGGAGAAGGGAAAATATATAAGAGATGACAAAAATGCTTCATTTCATGCTCTTTGTCTCATCTGCAATGTATGTGTGTATAATTCAGGTTGGATCCAATCATCCAGATTGGTGCTACTCAGCTGTTCAAAGTAGAGCTTGCTGAGGCAGCAGGCGATGCATGGACCTTGCACTGGTTTCTCCCAAGGGAAAAAATTCAGCTGAAGTGGATTGAAAGAAAAACCCAGTTGGATTTAGGTGCTACAAGTAGCGCATGTACTCTGTTGACCCACTGCCTATTGTTAAGTCACAAATTCTGTGGTGGATTTTTTTCTCATTTTTGGACAGAAGAGCTATACCGACTTGATGCATCGTGACTTTGGGACTACATTATGTTCCAAAGTTTCACCTCCTTTAAAAGATGAACAGACAAAACAACATAATGTAAAATATCTTTATGGAAGTAACAATTCAAGACGAGATAGGTCTCACTGTGTTGTAGATTTCTAGGATGATTAAGAAGGATAAGGGCTTCGCAAATGGCTGAGAAAACTGGGCCTGTGCTAACAAGGACTTCAAGTAGCCTAAGAATGCTATTAAGATGTTTAGCTATTGTGTACATTATGCCCCCCAAAACATGCCTGGGTCCCCAGAGGACTATGTGAGTCACATTGCATGCTCCAAGGTGTGAAACAAAGTGGAGAAGTAACATCTGAGGACCAGAAAGAGACTATCAATAATAAATTGTACTGATGAGCAATACTTGGACTGCACCATGACCGAGGCTTTCTCCAGGGGACATGAGGGAGCAATGTCCCATGACACTGGGGACAAAGGACACTGTGTGTGAGTTAAGGACTGGGCATTGAGTGCGCTCTCTGAGTAGTCTGTGAGCTCTCCATAAACTGCACAACCTTTTTGCTTGTCCAGTACTGTATGAATAAAAATAACTGGGTAGGCCTCAGGAGTCCAGATATGTAACAATAGTGAATCGGCGAGCTTCTGTGGATTAGCTCGTAATTAACTTTAGGAGGTCCCCAGGGGTAACCTGCACTGGAGTCCAGGAGAGAGAAATAACCCTGTTATGATAAACCACAAATGCCCTGTAATTACCCAGCCAAACCACAGCGTAGTCATTACATTAATTAAATGGTCAGCAGCTATTGTGTTATTAAAGGGAAGCTGCACAATGTCTGTGGAATTTAAAATGCTGCTAAATATTGTTTTAGGGCTCAGATGAGTAAGAGAATGAGCAGGAAACAGAAAGGTAGGTTACAAAAAAAAAAAAAAAGTATTTTTCTATTTATCATTCTCATATTGCAATCAGCAGGTAGGAAATTACTCATGAATGAATGAACAGAGGAGCTGAAATTCAGATTTAGACCTTTTATTAGAAGGTCCATTCTATTAGATCCTAGAAGAGCCTGAAGTGGTATGTTCATCCACCTACTCAAGGGGACATTTCACCTCTGTATGGGGAGGCAGTGAGAGAAGAAAATGTCCAAACAGCTCCTGTCAAAAGGATCACTCATATATTTGTGTGATCACCAACACTCCTCCAGCTGCAGCCTGGTGACTTCAGAGCAAGTTAAACTATACCTAAGAAAAGAAGCCTCCCATCCAATAGATACACTGCTCTGATTCAACACCTGCTTAGCTGGCAGCTTTGGAGCCAATTTGTGTGCTGCTGTATGAACATGTGATTCTGTTCCCAGGCCAGATGCTGTAGCTTGCACTTCAGGTCAATGGCCTGAAGCTGAGAAATGTACAAAGGGGACAATGGGGATGAGACAGCCTGGTACAGACACAGCAAGTAGTAACAGTTCAGTTTTCTGGCTGGAAGTGCTCTATGAAAGTAACTTCCTTAGAGAAGAATAACTGATGGGAAGAGTCAGATGTCTGATTTACAGGAAATGTTTTATGGTAGCTCAGAAATTATGCTGCTGAAATCATTACACAAATCACACCTAGTGCAGTGGATGGTTAAGAACACATAGTGGTTCTCATTCAGGAAATTCCCATTTTTGTCATCTATTCCTGGAAGGAATCTGTAATACCTATACAAGGGAAATGTCCTGCCACAAAGCAAACTGATCAGGAGCTAGACCCACCAAAAAAAGCTTTTGATGGCTTCAACAAGGGATCCCTGGGGGACATATAAATCTGGGAACTCAGGATACACCTTCATATCAGCAGTCACTGAAAGCAGAAATGACAAGATAGTCTGTGACTGCAAGACACTGTTTTTTCAGATCAAGCTTTTCTCTTCCATGTTTTCAGATGACTACACTGAGTACCATGCAACAAGTGTAGCTGTCTTCCTCCTCTTAGGAAGCCTGCTCTCAGCGGACAGCAGAAAATGCTGATCTTCCCTTCCAAAGCAGACTAGTGGGAAGATTCCAACTATGAATTAAAATTAATTTTGTAAAGAAACAAAGAATGAAATACAGGGTAAAAATGGAGAACATGCTAAATTACATCAGCTGCTGGCTCTGTTCTAGGATGTTTACTGGCAGACTACAGACTTCAGCTTTTATTTGAAAAAAATGGAAAATAGAAAATGAAAACATTTGAATGGGATGACATTTTTCCTCTAGATCAGTGACAATGACTGTGGGAGATGAATAAATAGCAACATTAAGATGTAATTTCAGATTCCACAGACAAGAGATAGTCACAGACACTGAACTGTATCCCAAATTTCTAATTTTTTTCCCCACAAATCTCAGGCAGAAATAATTCAAATGTGCAGACTTAGGAAAGGTGTAAATGTTCCTGTTGGAGATTATGGTGTTTAACTTTCAGTATCTCAGCTCCTTCTGGAATGAAATAGCTGCTGACACGCTTTATGAAACCTTTACATCCAGCCAGCACAAAGCCTGGAAATTTACTAGTCCAGCAGTGTTTCATAAAGACCTGAGAAACTTCTTGAGAAAATATAGAGCTAGGCTAGGTCTTGGTTTCATGTATAACAGGCAGCTATGAAATTCAGGTGCCAGCATGGTTTTTAAAAAAGGCATGTTTCTTGAAAGAAAGGGTGATTTTGGAAAAGCTACAAGTTCTGGAAAGAGCTGCAGTACACAGTTGTGTATGAAGCTGGCCCAGGAGGTCTTTATTAGAAAGACTTACTGACTTTGTGTGTGTGTGATACTGCTGAAATTCACCCACATGTGCAAGGAGAGATGGAAATCTGACTGCAAAGGCAAAGATCACAACCCCAGGAGGTTCTCTGAGAGGTGATACTACAAAGGGAGAAAAAATGAAAAAGAGAGTATCTAAGCAGATCAAAAGGTTTTATTAAGAAAGCGTAGTGTAAGTGTGAGGACTATCAAAGATTGTTCAAGATTGTTTTTGAGGGAAGCTGTATACTGAACAGCACCAAGAAGAAAGAAATGGAAAAAGATATGTTCCTAGTTCCCTTAACAATTGAAACGGGCTGGTACCACAGGCAGCATTTTGCCACTGGCTAAGGCAGTTTCAAGGTCCTCTGAACTAAAAGTAAGGCCAGAGAAGAGCATATTTATGCACTTCAGTAGATTTCAGAGCCACTTTTAAGGATGTTCCAATGCAGGGAAATCACCATGCAAATCCAGCTACTGTCCAAGAAAAGAGTCTTCTTGCACTGAATGCCCAATGGCTTCAGAAATTGCTCTGTTGCCAGCAGAAGCCGGACAATCACATCAGAAAGCAGAACATTGGTCCCAAGTTCAGAGCTGTCAATTTTAGAGTAGATTTCCCAATCAATCGGCTTGCAAAATGGTCCCTGGGAGCTAATACTATGGACTCAATAAAACTGTGGTTCAACAGTATGATGTGTTAAATTTTAGTTCTCACTAGTGCAAGGACAGCTAGACAGAGACACACGTGACTGTGAACATACTGTACAGAGACTCTGGTAGAGACATCTGACAGCTAAATTAATGAGTTTGTGCTCATCACCCTCAGCATCTCTGAAGGATTAGACGTCTCAGCCTGATGCCAGCACTAGTGTTAGGTTAGCTTAATTCTCATACTTGGGTGCCAAACACTCGATAGTGACTAGGAAGGTAGCCCGGAGCACAAATTTGGATTCAAACCTCCAGCAAAGATGTCTAAAAGCTCCCTCAAAAAATAATGAGGGTCTGGCTGCACTATTGTTGAAAAGAAGGGGGCAGGGAGAACAGTGGGTCTGACGAAGAGTCCATGATGTGAACTCAGGTTGCCAGTATGGCTGGTCGCTCCTTGACTGTACATCGCATTCCCAGTGGCAAAAGTCAAAGAGGATTTCTGGTTTTGTACATTCTGTAGTAACAGGCTCCCAGCCCTCTGGCTTTATCAAAGATACATCACGAGCACAAGATCTAACTCCTGAAACTAGCAGATGATATGACTTTACCTTCTCATCACTGTATGTACATATACACCTTATGTACAGTGCAGGATATCTATTAATTATATCTGCAACTATAAATGTATGCAGACACAGAAATATGCAGAGTTTGATGTGAAAAATATTTTAGTAAGATGATTTAATAACTCACAGCCCATGGAAATGATTCTTTGTGTTCTCATCTACGAGGGTATTCCTCTCTTTTATACTGTAATTGCATACAGCCACTGTCCATTTTGTTTACTGCCATTAATTCTCTTTCAATCTAAAATAAAATTGCTTAAATATTTCCTTAATGTTCCTCAGTTATGTTTTATAGCCTCTAAAAGGCTTTCCTCCAACAGGTTATTTAAAGCCTAAACAACATCATTTTCCAACATTGTCCTGTCAGCCAATTCATTATGTGTGGATGGAGGAGTGTGCACAGGGATCTAGTGAGATCAGTAGAATTTCATACAGACATAAGGGATCTAACCAGACTTCAGGCAGCATCAGAGCATTTTTTTTTCTTCTCAGGTATGTACCTTTCACCTTTTTTAATCTCAGTGAATGTGCAATTCTTTTCTCTGACATCTCTCCTTCCTTGTTTCTTCTGGTGGATTTTCTGTTTTTATCAACGTGACAAAGCCATCTGCCATACTGTCGTAGAACTGACCTATGATAAACAGGATAAAACTTTTGAGTTTCCCCATAAGACTTTGCCCATACTTACTGGATGTGTGATTACTATGTGTCAGTGTCTGAAAAGCCTGTATTTGTGCTGCTGTAGCTTAGCAGGTTACTGCCCATCCATGGCTGATGGTAACCAACTGCCTATGCATACATAGCCACTGCTGTGCAAAATAAATGTGTTGGCTTAGACCTCCTTAGGGTATGATTCTTGCTGGAAAACAGACCATCAGGGAGGCTGAAATTAATGCAGGCTTAGTACAAAGGCAGGCTGAGAGAGCTGACACAGTGAGGTACCACAGCTCTGCTCTGAAGTGGTACCTTGCTCAGCCAGAGCAATGTTTTCTGTTTGCATGATGCATCCATTTTGTTAGTTAGGTAGCTGCTCTATCATGCTTCTCTCTTTTTTTTTTCTTTTTTTTTTTTCTCTTTTCTGCAGTGTCTCAATACGTTTCCCATTACATTTGCATGACAGTGCAAGCAAAATAAAATGCAAACTCCTTACAAGCAGATAGGAACCAACAACAGAGATTCTTGCTTGAATTCTGGTGTTGCAAATTTCTACAAAAGGCAAATGTTATTCATCCAAATAAGGGCTGAGTCAGGACAGACTGGGATGTCCCCAAGCTAGCCCAATAATACAATTCCTAGTGAGTTCCTCTGTACCAATCTGTTAGAAAATAGTAACAGTGTGAGCATGACATAAAAAAAAAAAAAGTGCCATTTTTAACAACTTCAAGCAGTGGGTTATACCCAGCATATGTCTGACAGTAGATATTTGGTCATATGGTTGTAACAGCAACTTAGAAAATATCACTTGCAAGAAAAACAATCTAAATACATCTTTCATCTTCATAATTACAGTAGTCTAGTAGGTATTTCTGATAGTCAAAGAAACCTCCAAAGCAACCTGCCAAACAGACAATGAGAGCCTGAGCCCCTGCTGAACATAGGGAATTATTCCTGAGCAAAACCTGAGTAGTGGTTCAAACTGGAGAGATAGGAAGGTGCTCCCAAAAGGAAGATGCACAACATCTGTGGTGCTGGGAAGAAGGCAACCATCTCTACTTCTGGCCCAAATTCAGAAAAGTATCTGCTGCATCCGTTCAGAACCTGCATCCTTCAATTTAGTTTACTTTGCAGAGGTTCTCCCTCAGACCTGGGATATACCTGCTGACAATTACAGTGTAATAATTATATTAAAGAGCCAGAAGCCTCCCATCTAGGCCTGAAAACCTAAAACATCCCAAATACATTTATTACAACACCAGGGTAGGTGTCATTATTTATTGTTTAAGTATCTGTCAAGTGCTGGCAATGTTCTCAAAATAATAATCAGGTCAGAGCTCTTTTATTTCCAGTGGAAATGACTGAAACTCATTTAAAGTATTTCAGCTGTTGACCTGTCAGAACCCATACATGATGAAGTACAGAGTGAATTATAGAGCAACAGCAACTTCCAAATGTGACCTAATTATCATTTAAAGTAGAAAGTAAGCATTCATGCAATCCAGACTCGAGTGAAATGTGTTTTCTATTTGAAAGAATGGCAAGTTCAGTGCATTCTTTGCTGCAGTGTAGCTGCTACATATATTACCCAACTGTGACCTGAAAGTGAAAACAGCTATAAACACGTATGAATCATCTTAGATTATTTTTATCCTAGTTCAGATAAGTGACCTGGATTGTTAAACTGTTTTTACCTTACTATTCCATGGTTAGACCAGAACTGAGATAAGGAAATGTGTCAGTTGGCATTGTTCATTCAACACATGAATAAAATTTAAAGAAATCTCATTCCCATAAATTCTGAAGGCTGAGGAAAAAAAATCATACTGTTTACTTTTGCCATTACAGTTCATTAAAAAAGCACTTTTCCAAAATAAAACTATTTTTCACCCATTTTTGTTTTGCAGCATGATAGCAATAGTGTCTGAACGTGTTGGATGCCACATCATGAGACACCCTAGAAACCAACTTCATGGGTGAGCATCCCACTGCTGTCTGCAGCAGGAGTCCCTGACACTGTGGGATCCAAAGTAGAAGAGAAACCTTTTTGCATCAGGTTAAAGATCAAAACAGAACATTATCTTTAGACATTTTAAAAAGATCTACTTGGATGTTTTAGTCTGAAAAAAATAAATCAATTGAAGTTTCAACTTTGGAAGCCAATTTGGAACAAAAGGCAATGTAAAAACACCAAGCTGTCCCAAGGGCCACAAAGCCCATCTGCATCTTGTCTCTATACTCTGCAGAAGAGAGTTTAATGCAAGCCCTTGCCAGCTATTAGCATGTGCTAATGAGACTCTTGCTATTGCCAGTTCAGGACAAGGACTGAAGGATTTCTTAAAGAGTGGTAAGAGAGGGGACACTGGCAATCAAGGAGGTATCATGGAGAGGCCTTTCTCCCCTGGTTCCCACTACTTGGAGCCTCTTCTGTGGCTCCTTTTAAAAACTCTCTTTTAAAAAACACCATTTGCGATGGTCCAAATGGCCAGCATGGAGGCAGGGGGTACACAGATAGTCACTGTGTTGTAACTGCAGGCTAAGTGCTGCACCTTCTTTCAGGTCAGACCTTATCCACACAAGGATCCCACTGGTGCTAGGACATGGTCTGAACAGAGACCTAGCAAAAGTTATCTGCCTTGAACAAAATAAGCAAATGACACCTGTAAGTGAGGCATCTCTGGAGACCCACAGTACATGGGAACTGAGAACTAGACACTGGGAAGCACTAAGTACAGGAGTTGTAGGGTACTTACATCCACTGCATACAAGGTCAAGGGATCAGTCACTGCAGTTAACACAACCCCATATGCAAGGCTGTCTGACCTACTAGGAGATATGGGAACATCTCTGTCTCCAGGATGGATACTGTCAGAGATGCCTAGTCAGCAGATTTTGTTTGCATGCTGTGTTGCTCTGCAGGGAGGGGAGCCCTGAGACCACAGCAGGCTCCAGCATGACCTCTGGCTCCGGCCATGAACCATGGGCTCTACCCAGACCTCTGGGCATGCTCCAGGCCAGCCTCTGACAATCTCACCTGAACAGCAATTGTGCTCAGTTTAGCTTCAGGTAACAAAATCACAACCTCAGTGCAAGGGAAGTTTCAGAACAGCCTTCACTGTGTTTTCCTCAGTTGGTACAGAGAGACTCACACACCCAACTTGCAAGAGTCACAGGAAAAATACAGATCTCTTGCACCGCACCACATAGTCCACGGTGAGACAGCAATGCTAGCAGATACAGCTTATTGCAGACTGTTCTCACACAGCACACCACATAACCTTGTGCCGTATTTGTATTTTGCACGAAAAGAGCAAGCAACATTAAATTCAATCAGAAATGAAAGCAGATCCCATTCTAACGAATGGGGAGATAGCAAGAGCCCTGATTCTCCTCTTGGCAACAATCGCAGCTCCTCTTAAGGCCAAGCAGAGCTGGGAGTGCACAAGACAGGAAGAGGGCTCTTGGAGAACAGAAGAACCTGCTTTAAGGACATGACACAGAGCTACAATAACAAGGGAGAGAGAGAAGTAGAAAGAGACATACTGGAGAAGCTGACCATTGCGAAATGCTGACACCGGTCTCCTGTGAATTCGATCGGACACCTACCGGAAGAAAGAAAACCAGAAAGAAAGAAACAAGATAGCAAAATGACACCCAAACAGAGTGAACCAAGGCCCCTCCTGATCCCTTTCACAACTCCTATCTGTCTGCTTTCAGCCTGCACCCTTACCTGCATCCCTAAGCCCTAGCCCAAAGCTGACACCAAGAGCCATCCCTGACTAGACCACTCTACATCCACCGCTGTGCCCAGGAGGTTTTAAGTAGTGTGGTGCATTTTTTGTCTTCAAACATACTTTGCTTAGGATCTGGCATGTACAATCGCAAAGGCAGTTTCTCCAAACATCTCTGTCCGAAGAATCCATTTGGACATCTGGAGGGGAAAAGGGGAGAAATCACAGAACATGTCTGGCACCATTCTTGAGGCTAAGGTCAGAAATAAAAAGTGCATTGTGATGAATGGAAAAAATAAATGCTTCACGCGCATATTTACTCTCTGCTTTGCTTTAACCTCTAACATTAGCATTGCAGCTTTATCTTAGGCCTGGGTCATCAAGCCGCCAGCTAAACCCCTCCTTTCCTCCTCTGCCTGCCTCCTTCCTTCTCACCTGCTAGAAGCACCAGCTGGCCGGAAGATTGAGATGGGCTGCACCCTACTTTCAGAGATTCTCCTTGGAGCCACTATCTAGACAAGACTGGCAAGCAGCATCACAGAGCGGTGAGCAGCTGCTCAGGCGACAGCAAGCATGGTGTATGGCAAGCATCTTCACATCATTACCCCCAGAAGTACTCACAGGATGTTCCAGGGAGAATGGCTATGTTGCGGTTAGAGAGGAAGCATGTGCAGAATCTCTGTGTTAACAGAGAGAAAGGGACAGAGAAGAAAGCTGAGCTGGAACAGGTCTCATGCGCTGCCCAGCTGCGCTGCCCATGCTCTTGCAGGCCAGGCTATCCCATTCATAGAATCATAAAATCATAGAATCGTTAAGGTTGGAAAAGACCTCCAAGATCATCTGGTCCAACCATCCATGATGGATGGGCCAGGATGTGCTAGCTCAGGGGGCACCAGTTGTATGACCCTGATGCTGTAGTGCCCTGGGGACAAGGGCCACAGGGCAGGTGCATAGGTCACAAGTGAGGTCCCTGCAGCAGCTCCCAGTCAAGTGGGACTCAGGGGGTGTGGGAGCATGGGCAGGGTGTGGTGGGAGCTGCTGAGCTACGCACAGGTGCAGAGACACCCATGTGCTCTGCATCCTGACCTGCCACAGCTGCGAGTGAACCGGGAAGTGATGGGAACTCATTTGTGGGTGGTCAAACATTTCTTCCCCTGGTGCTGATCTCTCTCCCTTACTTTACTGCTTTTATCATGACCTTCTTGGATAGTTCATCAAAGTTATGCCTATCTTTCTTCAAGTCTCA